GTCAGCTTTCGCCTCTTATCTCCAGTGCGTTGCTCTGGAGACGAGATCACGTTCTTTACCCCCCTCCAGTCCCATGCCATTCCATCACAGAAACAGTGTTGAAAGAGAAGCTCATATTAAAATAAAAAAACACATAGTATGTGTGTATATATATAATCAGCAGTAAAAATATTTAATTTGAAAATTCAGTGCAAAGACAGTCTGATTGAATTATCCCTTTAAATCAAATTGTCAATTTTAATTATAGCATCAATTTGAAATGCTAAACTGAATTGGATGCTTTTGAACCAATTCAGTGAGTCAAGGCATGCTTGAGTATTGACAAACTCACCTTTTTTTCTGAATTGAATTCATGGCCCAATTCAAGTATGTTTGATTAGATGATTCACATCAGATCAAGGGTGACTAGAAATTCATTTTTCAGACAAACTCAACTCCTGGTCACTTCATGGATATGTCAAAGAAACTTTCTTAGCAATAATATGAAACTTGCTTGCCATTGTCTTCTTCCAGGTTATTCTTCAGCTTCCCTGTTTACCTTACACTGCTGTTTCTCCTTTAAGGTCTCTGATCCAAGTACTAACCAGGCCCAATATGCTTAGCTTCTAATCCTAGTAAAGGTCAGCCAGATGCTGCCACCTGCTGAGGACTTTCCTGTTTTGTTTTGGTTCTTTGCTGCCTTTAGACAATTTATCATCTTTAAAATATATCTCCCCATGAGCAATATTCAGAATAATTTAGTGAATTACGTTATAGCTTCTAGGATATTGAGAAGTGCTTTTAACCAGAGTGAATTCAATTATTTTTATACTTTCCAAATTAAAGATAGATAGATAGATAGATAGATAGATAGATAGATAGATAGATATAGCCCTAACCCTAATTATGTATATTTTTATTTCACTGTTTCCCTGAAGCTAAAAGAGATATAGGTAGTCCTTGGTTAATGGCTGTTTGTTTAACGATGGTCTGGAGTTACGACGGCCTTGAGAAAAGTGCTTTACGACCCCTGGGGTCATGTGATTGCAATTTGTGACCTTTTTTACAATGGTTGTTAAGAGAATCACTGCATTGTTAAGCAAATCATGTGATCGTTAAGGAAATCACATGGTCATTAAGTGAATTCCAGAAAAAAGTCCAATGGGAAGCTGGATTCACTTAACGACCATGTAATTTGCTTAACAAACATGTGATTTATTTAATGATTGCAGTGATTCACTTAACAACCATTGTGAAAGGTTGTTTCATCTCTGATTTGCTTAATGACCAAATCACTTAGCGACCTAAATTCTGGTCCCTATTGTGGTCAGATAGCAAGGACTGCCTGTAAAAGTATTTATTTTAAGAACAGTATTGCCCAAAGGATGCATGCAAAAAAGAGATGTCATGGAAGTATTAGTTATGGATACAGAAAAACAAATCACTGCAATAAAATTCATTGTGAAACTACTCAACTGTAATATTAATGTGTAATCAGGTAAAAGTATGGGTCTACTTTTTTAAACATTGGGAAATGATTTTTTTTAATGAAATTTTGTTTATTTGTAGAATAATTCTATTTGGTTTTATGTCTTTGATTTATCGTTACATAGAAATGTAATAAGTCTTACTTTTAAATAGTTCATAGGAAATGTAAGGATGGTAATGGAAAGAAAACTGAAGTAAAGGTCAATAGATAAAGGAGACAGCTTGTCATGATCATCTTATACAAGTGCATTTTTGTGAAAGAAGTCCTTTTGAAGAAAATTCTCTTTTGGGGGCCTCACCTTTTTGGCATGTGGAAGATTTTCTGCATTGTTCCAAGACTATAATAAGAGTGACATCCCACTGTCTTAGCATTTAGGAGGTATGAATTTCTTTGGCCAGGCTTTTAATTGCTAATTAATGCTAGCATTAATTTTAGAATTAATTTTAATTTATATCTATAACTTCTTAGTTACCTTTTAAATGAGCCAACACTGCTGCTAGAATGAAAGATGTGTGAGGTATATAAAATAAAAAATAATAGTCTGTGGCAGACATATCTTGGTGTCAAGTCCACACGGCTGAGCAAGATCAAGGAAGCAAGATTTACACAGATTTCAGAAAGATTGTAATGCTAATTTTGGGGCAAATGAAGAATCTTGGAAACTGCAAAAAGAATTTCTAAGCCTCATGTATAGTGAGTTCATTCAGGTGGTCTGAATGCTTTGAAATGCTTCTTCTTAGTTTATTAGTTTCTCACTTCTTAGTTCCTTCCCACCTGGGCTACAGTGCTGTTTATAAGAGAAGCTATCAATGGACTCAATTGTAGCTTCTCTTATAATTACGTTATTAATTCTCAATTCTCAGTTATGTTTAATCTCCCTTCCATTACTTTCCAAGCCTCTCCACAATCTCTCTCAGATGGGTTCTAATTGAATAGGAGTCATAGAATCATAGAATTCAAAGGGAACATGTAGACCATCAAGTCTAACTCTCCGCTATGTGCAGAAATCCACATTAAAGCACCCAAAAAGTTGGATAACTAGCTTTTGCATAAACACCTCCAGTGAAGGGAGTCCACCACTGCCCTAGGCAATTGGTTTCTATATAGGGATTTGGACCACAATATAAAGTTGTTGTTTTTCCCTGTAATGTTCAGTTGGAATCTATGTTCCCAAAATTTAAATTATTCAGTGTCCTGCATGTTGGAATGAGAGATGATAGATCTTGACCTTCTTCTGTGTGACATGGGAGGGCTTTTCCTTGAGTCTACACTTGATGCAGTCTTGCTTTGTGTTTCTTATATTCTTTCTTTGTGGGAGTGTCATTTTTATATCTTTATTTTTTTTATATGGGGCTGATGCTATCGTTGTTGTTGTTGTTATTGGCTTTAACCTCACTGTAGATGTTTTAACTCTTATTTATATAGCCCATATGCCACCGAGTGCCATTTGATTGTGGTGGGATAAAAGTATTCTAAATAAATAAATAATCTTTTCTGTTATTTGAAGAGTGCTACTGTGTTCTCAGTTAGTTGATTTTCTCAAGGCTAAACATATCCACCTCATTTACTCTTTCCAGTCCCTGATTATGCTGTTGCCCTTCTGTGAACCTATTCCAGTTTCTCTGAATCCTTCTTGTAGTACCCAGAACAGGACATGGAACTTGAGGTGATGCCTGATTAAAGCACAAACAATGGAACGATTACTGTAACTTGGAAATGATGCATTTGTTGATTTTCACTAAAATTCTGTGTCTGATTAAAGTAGAACTCAGTGGAACAATTGCTTCTTCCTTTATTTTAGGAAAATAAAGGAAGAGAAGCAATGTTTCCAAATATTAGGGGAAGGGGCATGATTAAAAAAAAAAAAGTTGGGGTTCTAGTTCACAGAGTATCTGGATTCAGTCCTTTTATGAAGAGACAAAGAAAAACCTGTAGAATGCAGGAAATGATTAGAAATGTCTAAACAGGCAGCTTAGAGGGAATTGATGGGAACTTGTGCCCAAAAGAAGCAAGAATACAGAGACTTCTGTAGGATCAGATGTTTTGTTAAAATGCTAAAAGCAGTGTCACACCTTTGCAATGCAAACTCCATTTCTTTCACTGATGCCTCTGCAGGAACATTTATATAATCCAAGCATAATAATGGCCCACTGCATCAGAAGTCTCCCTCCTTCCCTCCCTCCCTCCCTCCCTTCCTGGAGGCAGATGCTTCTATTTAATTTTTTTATATTATTTCATTAAACCTAAAACAATGATTATATCTGCTTTGTTTTTCAGTTCTTTGTTTTTTATCTTAGAGAGAGGGAGGGAGAATATTACAGGTGGCCCTCATTTAATGACCACTTGTTCAGCCACCATTTGAACTTTCAGCGGTGCTGAAGGAGTGGTAGTTACAACTGAACCTTGTACTTCTGGCCACTGGAGTGTCCCTATGGTCACATGGTCACAATTTGTGATCTTTTCTGCTGGCTTCCTACAAGCAAAGTCAGTGGGGAAGCCGAATGTCGAAAATCATGGTCATGTGAGGTTGTAGCTTAATGATCCATGCAGTCCTCTTTTAACAAAGGCAACTGGAACTGCCGGAACTGCCATTGCTAAGCAGTACAGTCATGTGGTTTTTCAACTTATGACCATGTTGCTTAACAATGGAGTTTCCAGTCCAAATTAGCATGATTAAACAAGGACTACCTGTACATATGAAGCTGAGAAATAATATATGAATAATAAAATTATACACATATGTATTTTGTATGTGCATGTATCTATGATATAATATAAAATATATAAAATATTTTGTTGTTATATAAGATATTATTTTTCTATTCTGATACTTTGAGCATTTCACAAATGTAATATATACATTATGTGCAACATCCTTTGCACAGTTTCCAGAAAATGAACCAGCAACATTTAGTTCAAAATCTGTTAGACGTTGAGAATTCCAGGGTCCCAGAAGGATAATGTGGATGTTATAAAAGAAGAGGTCTTTCTCTGCTTGTCTTTTAGCAAACTGTATGGCAACTAAATGCAGATTAGTCCACACTATTGTGTTTCCCATAGCTACCTATGGTTGAGGAAGTTGGACCATGAAACATCTAGACAGGAGTAAAATCGACTCATTTGAGCTGTGGTGTTAGAGAAGGGTCCTGCACATTCCATGGACAGCAAAAGTGAGAAACAAGCAAGTTCTGGAGAATATAAAACCAGACATATCACTGGAAAGCAAAATCACAAAATTCTTCCTTACTTATTTCAGCCAGGTCATGCAATCAGATTCACTGGAAAAGGCAGTTATGCTCAGAATGGTCAGTGGTAAAAAGAAATGAGGCCGCCAAAAAACACGATGGCTAGACACCATCAAACCTGACACCAACCTCAATCCTGATGATTAAAATCCTCTGACAGGTTGCCCAATTTGCTCTTAAAGAGAATATAATCACATTGTT